ACAACCCCTACTGACCCCTCTGAAACTAGTAGGTGATAATTGCAGTATCAGAAAATGAGTAGGGATTAATTTGTTTATTGCACGTACTGTATAATTAGAAGATAATTGCGAGTTCAGATCAAGGGATAATTTGCTTAAACAAAGACCATAATTAGCCTCTTAAATTTTGATTATTACGGATCAGTACAGCGACATCGATTGGCGTGACACTGACTAGGGTAAGTTTGAAAAGACGTAGGTTGAAGAAGTGATGTGGGGGAGGGGGTGGTATTAGCTTGAGCCATAATGAAGTTCTATATTTGCATCCACCATGTACGTTGCACATTTTATATCATATTTCAGCGTAATGGAATAACACAAATTGCAGAGACGACTCCCCATTCAGGATCCCAAATTTCAGTCATTTTCGTATCAGTACATAGATTTAAATTACTTTGACTGACAAAATAAAGTAACATAATCCCTATAAAATGATTCATTTTCACTTAAGTTTATCAAGTTTGGATAAGGGCTGTGATCCTAACTCTGGTATCATATCTAATACAACTCGTACATCTAATTTATAAAGAGAGACCTTATTTATATTGGAAAAATACTTATCATTGAGAATTGACAGTGACATGGTAGAGAAGACTTGGAATATTGGCTGCCAACTTGTCAATCAGTAACTAGTTATATTGGATTCGCTTTCCATTGTAATCAAACACTCGTCGTAGACTTCACGACATTTTCATCATGCTGATAAATTCAGCTATAATAGAGCAGGTGGTTTCTGTCGGGGTATAAATTAGTCGTTAGAACAGTAATGTCGGTTTGTACATTAGCTAGCATATGTTAAAAACAACAATCCATGAACCCTGAAACTTGAACAATGTTATTAACATGGTATAACGTACCTGAATTTCATTGCACATCAGAGGGATACAGGGGCAGGAATTGGGGGAAGGGGATGGGGCATTAGATAAATTCAAGTTTTAAAAATAAAATTCTTTCGGGAGAATCTTGTCAGGCGCTTAGTAGGAGCTTACACCTATGCGAATTGTCGCATTTTGAATCTCAACAACTACATTAAGTCATTCTGCCCCGTATTTTTAACTCCAGTCTCGGAAGGCTGGTGCCACCACTACGTAGCGTTTGAAAATGTACATTGTCAAATTAAAATAAAGTTAATTTAATGTAATTTAATTCAATAAAGCTTGAAGATTAATCATTAACTCAAATCATGTGGGCAATAAATCGTAGACGTAACCAATCCTTAGACAATTAAATCTAGGTAAGTCCAGTATAGAATTGGTTACAACAGTTCCAATAGAATTTACTATCAAAACAACGGAACAAGTAAAGCTATCCTACTTGGTATTACAGAAACAGGAGTGGTCAACTCTATAACGGTATTAAGTGCTGAAGGAATGGTTGCCGCTTCCAAATGTATTTATGTCCTTAAGAAGGAAATAATATTAATAGTAATAGTATCGCGCAAGTGAGAATTTATACCGCGGAAGAATAACTTCAAGTCGTAGTGGAGTAGTGACCATTTTGTTGTGACGGTCTCGTGGTCTTGATTTCTGATACAAGTAGCTACTGCTGCTGAGTCCAAGACAAAAATAAAAAAAATATATTAAAGAATTCAAACCTCAAACCTTTCAGATACCTAATAGTAAACACGACCGTTACCGTGTGACCCAGGGTACTGTATTGTTTGGCATGCTGTAAAGACACTTATTTTTCCGTTTTAGGATATTGAAAAAGTGTAAGAAAAGAAAATCCTTTCTAACAGATGGTTCTTGGCCAAGGCTCTTGGCAGTGATCTTTCCCGGGGTATAGCAGGACAGTACAGAAAAAAATGAGAAAAGATGACCTATTCGAGATTACTAGTCTTTCGCACACTGACTGGAATTGGAGCCCACGACCACAATTTCTTCAACGTAACCAAATGACGTATTGTAAGGTTTCCACCAGGTCTAACCGACTGTGCTACAGAACCCCTAGTCTGAATAAACCCCAGACTCCCGCTGAGAAATAGATATTTCTAGTGAAGTGTTATTGTGAGTAGGATGTAATGATTAAGATGTAAGACAATGAACTGTGAGAGATTTATCAGTATATCGATAAACTGATCAGGCTGTTTTTAAACCGTGTATCGGCAACGCTGCATTGTGGAATTCTAGAATAGCAGTTTATTAATAAAGTGGCTAATCTGAAATTCACATTGGATCTGTGGTTTTAGGACGTTCGAGTCCTTACGTAAGAGACAAATTTACAAATAGTGCGTGCCGGTACCGACAATAGAGTTAATAACGGCTGCACAAAAAGTCAATTAACAGCAACTTTCAACTACCAAACCAAAGTGCCAAAACATCCAATTGATCCAGGTAAGAGTACCATCTACCACGACTCTTACCTAGTTTTCATGATAGATGCATCTGTTGGAAGTATAGGGCATCTGGTTCCGTTTCAATATAGTCATCAGTTTTAATTCTCAGTGGATTTATATACTTGTATGTCCGCGAAGCTATATTTATTATTAGGCTACACTGGTTGTTGGATATACATGGTTTAAGAACTATTAACGTGTACATGTGATAATATAATTCTACTACACCTGATTCTGTAATGTGGTTTGTGATTAATAGTTTTGATAAACATAATATGTTTAACTAAATTATGTTTTACAAATTATGATTTATTGGTTGTTTATTACAATGATATATAAATCATGTCAAGTTCGTCGTAGTTCGTAGTTCCTTCGTCGTCATTTTATAAATTTTCAGTTATTGCGACTAATACGTGTTTGAATTGCATAAATTGCGACTTGTGTTTGAAATCATTATAATTTCAACTCGCTAACTCTTCCTTTCCCTTTCCCTCCACAGAAAATAATTTACGGAAAGAAAATTTTACAACCACATGATATTATATTCAAACTATTCCCAAAATGGAAGCTAAGCTGTGAAAACTGGCAATACTGACTGCCTTGCGTGCTAGCGTTCTAAGTGAATTAACAGACAAAGACGAAATTAATTTTATTGGGCCAATTTTCGATATCATATCCCCTTAAAACATATTCGGATAAAACCGACAAACAATCGTGAAAGGTGCCAACAACAGTTCACTCTGACGACGGGTTTATCGCAAAGGCACGTCAAAACTGTTGGCTTGTCATACAACAGCTGGAAGACGGAGGCCGAATGCCATAAACGAGGCAAGTAGGTTAGCAGTTGGCAAACCTAAGACACAAACACACTTGATTAATTTGAATGAGTTTTAAAAAACTGGTAATGAATACTGTCGTTTATTTTCTGCGTGTCGTAGATCTGTTGACACTATTGAACATTGGTGATTAGAATGTAGCGTCGTCATATCGACTGATTCTCTATATAACAGACCTACACAACTTTGGATTTTAGTTTACTATATAAGTTCGGTGAATGAGGCGACTTAACACGGATTAAATTTTCTAATTTCTATGATGGATGACTTTTAGATTTTGTGTTCTATTAAATACTGGATTGATCTTGTTTGATATTATAAGTGGATCCTGAATTTACAGCTGAATTTGAAAGTCTGCGAATTATGAAATATTTTATGTGTTGATTTTGTATATTTTAATTTGTAAACAGAATCCTATTTTTAATTTTGTGTTCGGGTAAATTGTGGTTTGAATTCTTATGAACTAGTAATTTCTATAGATCGTAACACTACACTTATGTGTTAGAAATTCTGCGAACTTGTATGTGTGGATTGAAATGGTTTGAAGTTCAAAAAAAGAAGAAATACTATTTCTTATTGGGAACTAATATAGCTGGTTTCCCTTCCAAACGCGAACCCCTGTAGAAAGTACAAATTTCAGGTTCATTATTGGCAATCAACGAGGATTATTGAATATTGGTACTGCCGAAAGCGAGATTATTGGCAGGAATAATTAAGGATTCGTCCGTGAAGTGGAATGAGATTAATTCCTGATCATCAATGTTGGGAGTTCTAATTAACAATAATACTGTCATAAAAGCAATTCTGTGTTCCGCAAGATGGAATCGATGAAGGACATCAAGGAATGGCTAATCAACAAATGTAAAATTCCAAACATCAACGTTCCGGATGATTACAATGTCGATCATAGTGCTCCATTCTGTACAGTAGTCACACCTAAAAATATTCCCGAATTCGTTATACCAAAATCTAACGAATCGTCTCGAAATCCTTCAATTTGTTCGCAAGATGATGATGGTAGAAGTCTGTCCAGTGGAAGCATTCATTGTTGTACACCAAGTCCCGGAGTATCACCGCGAGGTTCCATATCCTGCCTGGAAGTGCCTAGGAATAAAAGTCCAATACATTCTCGATCAGCCCCCGTTTCACCTCGGCATGAAGTGAGGAATGGGTACCATAACTTCAGCGTACACCATTCCTTATCAGATCTTCAGAATGATGAGAACAGAGACACTAACGCTGATCCGAACTCTACTGCTGCGGTCAGTTTGTCACATTTCAAAACGCAGACCAATTATGGATTTACTACACTAAAAGAATGTCCTCACACCCGACGAAGAGAGTCTTTATTAATATCCCAAAACAACCCTAAAAATGGGAAACACAAATATCCATCTTTGAATACCATTGATCTACGAAAGTGTTCTTTGAATGATGCTCAAAGTCTGTTTCCAAAACAAATGGCCCGGAAACGGTCAGGTGGAGAACCATCTCGAATGTTTGACAGACGCAATACGTTATCAGAGAAAGATTGTTATCGTAACAGTAAACGTTATTATAGAAGGAGATCGTCTGCGTTTACGCCAGGTGATTATCCGGATGATAGTGGTTCGGATACGAGTCCAGGAACGTACAGACGTTACCTGCCCACATTTGAGGTTCCCGTTAAACGCCATTCTTCGCCTTGCTGTTCACCAATTTCACCAGGCCCCGATTTGATAGGGGACATAACTCCTAAATCAAATTCGTTTTCAAGTATTACACCATCGTTAACAGCTAATATTGCTGAATTAGGCGAACTAAAATTCTCTTTCCAATTTTTTCCACATTCTAAAAAGCTTCGTGTCACTTTAATTAAAGCGGAAAATTTGCACGTGCATAATAAAGCGGATCATAATTTGAATATTTTTGCCAAACTGTACCTGATGCCTGGAAAAATACAGAAAAACGTATCGCAGTTTGTGAAGCAAACCAAGAATCCCCATTTTAATCAGGAATTCCATTTCGAGGGCTTTAGTAAAGATGAATTAGAGGCAATGATGTTGAGGATTAAGCTATTCGATAAAGGACAGAAGTTACAGTTTACCGAGTATATAGGCGAGGTGAACATTAACCTATCTAATTATGATTTGCTACAGGAAACCCGGATGTGGAAGGACCTTGAAACCAAGAGAGATAGTGAGGTAAGTGAGGGTTATCTTTCCTTTGATATTTTATAAGTAGTTATTTAAATGACGAAATGTCATGTTATAAGATTATATTACTAGTCAAGTTAATGTTGACATTTGAGTTCTAACGTTTGACCTATACAGATTTTACTATTGTTACCCGAAAACATCATAATCGGTGGTATTAAACAAAATTCTACGATTTCAACTCAATTAACGATTGTTAGCCAAGTGGAATTTATCAATGAAAATTCTCAAGTAAACATTATTAGTTCTGTAGGCGTCACGAAATATATACCAATTTGACAAACTTAAATATTCAATTTACATAATGGGCTGAAAAGGACGTCTAGTTTACAATTATTTCTAATTTGGTTCGAGGAAATTGGTGATAATTTTATAAACAACAATTTTCATATTAACACCAGAATTTCAATGTAATGTAATGTAAAGGAAAACTACCTCTTAGAATGGATTAAAATTTAAAAATCTCAAAATTGGTGAAAAAATCAGTTGGACTTAGCAGGTGCCATGGCTACAGAATAGAATTAGAATTATTACTTAGTTTTATGAATTTATTGCATTAAAGAGGGATTCTATTGTATAGTTTGGGCACCAGGTCCACTGATGAACTAAGACTCATTTTTGCCAAGTTTAAAATTTTCAATATTTTGGTTATCCTAAGAATGTATTAAGAACTCTTGCCGTAGTGACAAAGATAAAGTAAAAGTTTGGAGTTGGCTAACATTTAAGTCACCACAATCCCCGGTTCCCTCAACCCTAGGGATAAGTCTAGTATTCTTCTTTCAAAGGTAAAGCAAGTAACTAGACGATCTAATTAAAATTATATTACAATTTCTTTTCGTTATGATTTTCTTTTGTCGGTCTCTCGGATGCATTTAGAAAACATATAAATTATTTAACAAAGTCGTATCTCACTCGAGATAACAAAGTTCTTCTATAAAGACAAAAGACGAATCATTCACAACATTATTTTCTCTTTTGCATCTGTGCCTGGAGTAAAGTTTTAACTATAACTGATTACAATGCTAAATCGCCACATAACCCCAAAACCACCAGCCACCATTTACAGATAAAGCAAGACGACTATAGAACAAATCAAAGATCACACATGAAATAACAAAGTTTATTAAGACAAAAGGCGAGTCGTTGAAGACATTCCTTTCTCTCGTTGTTGAATTGTATCAGTACCTGTAATGAAGGTAGTACCATGCAAATTCACCACATCCCTACCCCCGCACCCCCCCCCCCCTCCTCTTACAGATAATGCAAGTTGGGTACCTCCAAGGACAAACATGTATGTATCAAAATCGAATCGAATCACACATGAAATATAAATATTCTTCTGAAGACAAAAGACGAATCATCCGTAACATTCTTATTACTTGTTGTTGAAGAAAATCTCTTTTGTTTAATCAATGTGCTTCAAATATTAATAATAGAGTAGACATTTCGCCATTTTGAAAGACACTTATTGATAATAACAAATAGAAAATGATATTGATCGCTATGTCACTATATCCTTCAAGGATCGTCATTTTATTTAACAGAGAAACATCTGTCAATTCGACCTTTATAAAAAAAAGACCATCATTCATGCTGTACATGTTTTGTATAATCGCAATAATGTCAAATTACTTCGTTCTATATATTACTTTCATTTTCTGTTCAAACGTTTCACATGCAACTGAGTTTGTCAACATTGTCGTCTCCATGGTAATCCATTGTAAAAAAAGAACGAGAGTTTGGTGAAAATCTGGTTAGCTTACAATGAAGACTTCATGCAGGTTTCAGGAAACAAAATGGACAATAAATTGCAATCTAATTAGATAAGATTGGTCAACTCGACACATCCCTTTCATTTCCTATATTACCTAATACCACTCTAAAAACTTGATTTAGTCTGAGCTCTTCACCTTGGTTTTGTATATCGCTGGAGTAATGTAAATTCTCCCAGAGTTTCCCACACGTAAGTAGCTCGTGGAAGGTGTTCTCCGGGAAACTGTCGGATAGTCTCTAAGAACTTTCGGTAGACATATTGCAAGGAACTTTTCTCTCATTTGATCTTTTTTTTTAGATAGAAACGTGGCCAGCAATTTTCTTCCATGTGGTAGAGAGATCTGCTAGAAACTGTCGAGAGACTGGTTTGTGTTTGTCGTGTTAAGAGTTCTCGCAATAAAAATTCCAAGTTTTATATATTTTGAAGGAATTTTGCGATTTTTTCAAATTTCTATTACTTCTGAAGACTGTTTTGATATATTCAACCCCCCAAAATGGCGCATCTGTCCCTTTAAGGAAGCCTGAGGGATGATGCTATTTAACTTTAAATGTATTGACATATACTGTACATGCAATTATATATTGTAAACGCTATCAATACCACAGATCTAGAGATAAATAACAGTAGTTGAGAAACTAGAATTCAACCAAAAACAAAAAGTATGTCCTCGATTTAATCTTGCCAACAGAATAGCATTCACAATCCCATTTTCATTTCTGTTGTTAAGTAGAAAAATACCTCTGAACTAATCCTAGTTATAAAAGTTGAATTGATTTATTTGTACAAAACCAAATCAGTTAAATTGTTCAATGGAATAAGATAATTCTGAGTAATTCCCTCTATATACTATTAAGAACATAGTTAAAGTTCATTGAACGGCAAGTTTAAACAGAAAGTTCATTTAGCAAAAGGTTTTGAGGTCATCACAAAATGAATTCACTTCGACAACTTTTACATGACACTGAGATGCCGAGAATCGCAATAGTAGTTTCACATCAGAGTCCGTTCAAGAGCATAGCCACTTCAAAATTAAACATGAATATATTGGCCACAGTAAGCTGTGCTGAGAACAATGTTTTCTATTTTCTGTGTTCAGATTGTTGGTACAATAGTATAGTTCCATTCATGTTTGTAATGGTAATTCGAGGGTATTGAACAATGACACAGGGTCGACTCTCGACAACACTAACCGTTGTACCAGAAATTATCTCGTCTAAAAACATCAAGGATACAGCTTATAATTGTGTGTTTTCAAAACGCAGTCCTTTCAAAATCTTAGCCACAACCCAGAAAAATCCAACATGGATGCTGGTAACAACAGAAAACCATATTGAGCACAATGCCTGTTTCATGTGTGCAGAAGTCAGAAGGCATGGTGCCATTGTTGTTTAGTGGTAGTTTGTTGTTATTGAACCCTTGCACGGGGTTGATTCTCGAAAGCACCAACTAAGGCATCAGAAATCATTTCGTTTATTATATGTTTATCGTGTTGATGTCTCAATTCTAAGAGAAAACTTCGTTATTTTTACTGTGAAAATCAGAGACACAACTTAAATTAAACGTGTGAAAATATTCCACTTTATATTCAAGAGGGTTCTGTGTCATTCAAGAGACTTTTATTGAATGTGACTTCGTTTTATTTTATTTCAAGCCATTTATTCAGTGCGTGGATTATTTACACTGGTTGTTATTTTCATCATTTGTATCTTGAAGGATTATGTAGGCTTGGGCGCTGGAAACTTTACATGACGTCGAACAAATAATGGTCGGTTGTGTAAGTATGGTCACTTCATATAGGTCATATTTCCTTAATTCAGTCGATCAAGCTGTAAATGTGTCAGGATCAAGGAATATCGGTAGAAAGGATCCTTGAACCTTGTAAAAATCGGTTGTTTCGTCTGTCGTATACGTCTGTAAATCTACAAAATCCTGAATCTGTAAACGATTTCTCCGAAAAGTTTGGGGATAGCAGGTATAAGAGTCACCTAAGGACACAACTGGAATCAGATTGTGGCTGCATTGCATCACGACCTCGTAAAATATAATTTATATAAAAAATAGTTCACAATGTGACGTTTGATATGAAAAAGAGGTACATCCGGTACATGTAAGTCTGCACTTTAATCAGATTGTGGTTGCTGCATCACATCACAAAATCGGAAAATATAATTAATGAAAAAGAAAGGCCTGCAACATGACGTTTGATGGAAAGAAAAGAAGTCTTATTAATACAGCGGTGATTAAATCCTGTTTCCCATCGTGACATGAGCTCTACCACGTTAATTGAAATCTATACCATTCACTACTCTTTATTCTGATTCTCAAGATTTTAGATGTATTTATATAGAAGTGTATTTCTGTATCTTAATAACCTTAAGGAAGCAGATATTTTACAAAACCTGAGGTATTACATCTTTCATCATGATCATCGTCATCGTCATCGCCATCGCCATCATCATCATCATCATCATCATCATCATCGTCATCGTCATCGTCATCATCATCATCATCATCATCACTATCATCATCAGATCTATGCTATTCATTGCATTGCTATAAATTTTGATGATTTGAGATATATTGTCATAGGAGTATATATCTGTATCTTTGATATATTGTAAAACTTGAAATAGATCTGCGTAATTTTTGCTCCGTCAACAGCAAGAGGTTGAAGTGACAGAATGAAGGGCTATTGTAAAATATAATAGAAACTTGTAATGCTTTAAAGGGACAGTTACAGCATTCTGGGTTGTTGATATTAGTCTTGAATATATGTAAATAGTCTTCAGAAGTACTAGAAATGAACAAAAATACTTCAACCTAGAAATTTTACTCACTATTTCTATATATGTCTTTCCTATATATCACAGAGTATCTTACAATGCGTCGTCAATTCAACATTCAAGCGCGGATAATGGATTTGAAGACTGAAAATATTGAGCTGTGAACACTATGACTAATTGGCTTAGGTAAACAATTCCCGTTTCTGAGACTAAAGTATGATTGGTTAAACTAAATGGCACCTATCCATTTAATACAAAAGGCCTCATGATTAAATCAATCATCGTCATCATCATCAAGCATCAACATATTTTCTTTAACTACCATAGTGTGTTCTTATAAGAATGAACAACCTCATGTGGCGGTACCGAGAATAGTGTCAACCTGGCTTTAAATGGTCAGACGAATGGGGACA